GGGGGGGGGGGGGGGGGGGTGGCAGCCTTAGCCACGGGAGTTCAAGTCAGCAACCTGCTGAACTTTAACGCGCACCAGCACTTGTTGCTGGTCGTTAAGGGGACACGGAAAAAGGTGACAAAGAAGAGGGTCACGCGAAGAAGGGCCCGAACGGAGTGAAGAAGCCGAACGTCCGGGAAGAAGACACAGACAGAAGCTGCTCTTGTAGCAGCGCTGAGTAGACGGCGGTGATGAGCCGAAACGTTAGATTTTCAACAATCTTGAAGTTGTTCGAATGTCAGTTTGAAGGTCAGACGGACAAAAAGAAGCGGCATCATGTAGGTTTGAAGGAGCTTGCCTAGGTGGAGATTTCAGAGGCAAGCTTGCTTCGGTCCTAACTGCTGTAGAAAAAAGCTTGTATGGTAGTTCAACTGGGATCAGCGCGCTAAGTGGGCGCTTTCTTGAACGAGGACGAATGAAGGTCAATCTTGCAGGCACCACGGATGAGAGCAATAAAGACCAGTTCAGGCAGGGGACCGAGGTACTTGAGATGTAGGGATGGGACAGATTCAGAGCACTTAACAGCTTTTAGTTAATAACTTTATTTGACTACGGAAGAGAGACAAAGCTAAGAATTTGGAAGGTGAAAAGGGCAAAGAGATGATAGAATGAAGAGTGTCAGCACGAGGTGTGATCTCTTCAAACGAGTACGGCCGACTGAAAATCAGTCGAAGGTGAACCTAACGAAGCCAGATCGGCAGCTACGTGTCGTCCAACGAAAAGGGAGAGAAGTGATGAAACAAGCCAAAGAGGCCTTTTGTCAGCACATTCGAACGCCGTCCGGTATAAGATTTTGAGTTGACTTTCTGGTGATAAAGAGAGCTAAGGTACGGGAGAAACTTCTAGAAGAGGAAAAATGACCATTTTTCATGACAGTGATTTTCGCCTCTCCATAGGGCTCCATTGAAACGTCCAGATGGTGTGATCGGTTTCATTGATGATATCAAGAGCGAGAGATTTGCTTCTTCAGTGGTTTATCGGTCGACGATTACAAAATGCTCTTTCCTTTTCACTCACACTCGCTGAGTGGAAAGAAAAGCAGTCAGTAATACGAGACTGTCAAAAGCTCTCACAAGTTCAAAAGAAGCGCTTTCCCAGCTAGCAGCCGAACAGACAGACTAGTGATATCGCACAAGTGCCACTAGTTAAGAGTCAGTTACCGCTTTACAGCGTTTCTCACTTTTGAAGTGCTCAAGCCAGGCTAGATGCCAACTTAAGAATGGACTTTGCACCTACATGTTTTATACATTGTTTAAGCACTTTTTGTCACACATTTGACAATTCCATTCGGTGATATACATTAAATAAAAAATTAACAAATAAAAAACAGTTTTAGAATGTCAAGTTGAAAAATTTTAGCAAAAAACAATTTTATTTTAAAACCAATTAAAATTATTTAAGCATAAACAATTTTTGTGGTTGTTGTTGCTGTCGTCAAAATGATATTTGAAAACACTTTGGAATGTTATCAAAACAATTTTTTTAATAAAATCAAATCTAGGTTACTAACTTTTGTGTTTTGTTTTGAACAATTTAAAATATTTATTAAAGTTTTTCAACTTGTTTGTTTTTATTTCTGAATATTTAGACACAATAACCAACTATTGATAAACAATCTAAAGTTAAATTTTTTGTTTTTGATCAGTTCAGTTGTTCACTTTAACATTACGATTAGTGTTGTTTGGTTGATAAGCAATTACAATAAAAGAATGTTTAAGTTAAAACTCATTTTTTATCTTTCAATCTTTTGTTTGACAAAAATTAAATTATTGTTTCTGAACTGTTGATTTCTTTTTTGTATATAAAGTCGACCATTTTGTTTTGGTTGAGATATACAAAAACACATTTCAAATTTACAAACAAATAACAATCATGAAGTTTGTCATTGCCGTTTTGGCGTTGGCCACTCTTGCCACAGCCACAAATGAGTTTTTTTCTGAAAAAGAACTGGAAACTCACTTCAGTCTTTTCAAGGTAACTTTAATTAAAATTTTTTTGTTAAGGTTAATCTTTAATACTTTTTCTGTAAAAAATTTAGACCGAGTTTGGCCGAAACTACAGCAATTCTGAAGAAGAAACATACCGAAAAGGCGTTTTTGCAGACAACCTTGAATTCATTTTGAAACACAACCGAGAATACCAGGCTGGCCTGAAAAGCTTCAGCGTGGGGGTGAACAACTTTGCAGACATGACCAATGCTGAGTTCAGAGCCCATTTTAACGGTTTTCGCCCTTATGCCGGTTCCATTCAATCGGAAGATCTCAATAAAAACACCGACAACGCCTCTGCCAGTGTTGATCTGCCCGACACCGTTGACTGGGTCCAGCAGGGATTGGTTACGCCAGTCAAAAACCAACGTAAAAAATTTATGTTTTAATAGTTGCTTTTGTTTATAACTTTTTCTTTTTTTAATTTTTAAACTTCTAATCAACAAACACCAGATCAATGCGGTGGCTGGTAAGTGCAGTTTAAAAAAATACTAATATCGTTTGTATGAACTAATAATTTTTGGTTTTTCTTTTCCCTCCACAGCTGGGCCTTCTCTGCAGTGGCCGCGATGGAGGGCCAACATGCGCGGAGTACCGGCCAACTGGTGTCCCTTTCCGAGCAGAACCTGATCGATTGCTCCTATGCCAACAGGGGTTGTGGCGGCGGCTGGCCTTTTCTCGCCTACCAGTACGTCATTTCTAACCGAGGTATAGACACTGAGCAGTCGTACCCTTACACCGCCCACCAGGGGCCCTGTGCCTTCAGAGTCCAAAACGTGGGCGCCATCTTTCGAAGCTATAGTAACTTGCCACAGGGCTCGGAGAACTCGTTGCAGGGGGCCGTTGCCAACGTGGGCCCCATCTCGGTGGCCATTGATGCCAGCCAGCCGTCCTTTCAGCTCTACAAGCAGGGAATGTACGACGAACCGGCCTGTTCTCCCACTAAAGTCAACCACGCTGTAACGGTGGTCGGCTACGGTCTTTTTCAGGGGGTGACGCCCTACTGGAAGGTGAAGAACAGCTGGGGTGTCACTTGGGGCGACCAGGGCTACATTTTCATGTCGCGCAACAAGGGCAACCAGTGCGGCATTGCCAGCTACGCCTCCTACCCTATTGTTTAGTGTCTGGTACTTGTTTTTCCTAATGGTCAACCTTCTAATGAACACACCCGTTTATATACAAAATTAATTTAAATGTTATATCACAATAAACAAATAAAAAAGAAAGTTCTTTAAAAAACATTGTTTTAAATGTTTTGACAATTATTTCATTAGTAACGCTAAAACTTTGCAGTTTAAATAGAAAATATCACTAATATTTTTAACAATTTGATATTTGCTTTTGTTTAAGTTTTATTCTTTGTTTAAACAATATTTGTCAGACATTGAACAGTTCCTTTTGGTGATATTCATTTAATATAAACATTAACAAATGAAAAACAATTTTAAAATTTTAATTTGGAAAGTTTTAATAGAGCGCAATTAAAAGTGAATTTAAAAAAATATATTTTAAAATGTTTGATATGACATAATGACTGAACTCACAAAAACTTAGAAAGAAAATGGTACTTTTAAATGATAAACTTGTAGTGGCAGGGCAGTAATCCTAGTAAGCACCAATTTTTACAAACTGTTGACAAGTATCTTCAAAATTCTTTGTTAACACCATTACACATTTTTGTCACCACTCGATCTAATTAGCATTAATTTTTTAACATTAACGGTAAAGTTAATGCACAGAATAAGCACGTTTTCAATGTTTACTTTATTAACCAGTTTTGTGGTTGTCGTTGCCGTCGTCAAGATGTTATTTGAAAACACTTTAGAATGTTATCAAAAACAATTTTTTACATAAAATCAAGCCTAGGTTACTTACATTTGTGTTTAGTTTTTAGCAATTTTAAAAATTTATAAATTTTTTAACTTGTTTGTTTTGATTTCTGAATATTTGGACCCAATAA